AAAAGGATCCCATAATTTTTTTGAAAAAAATTGTTCACTTTGTTTAGGGCATTGCATACCTTTGTCCCTTGCAGAGTTGTTATGACTTGCAGTCTAGCTGGCACCATTTGTGACTCCAAAAGTCTCTTTTTCTGATTTCTCACCAAAAGAAAAGTTCATCTTTAAGATAACTATGGCGGCATTTTTTTTGGCCAAAAATGGAAGTTTAATTTTCTTAAAGTATTTCGGTTTCATATAATTGAGAGTCAAAACTACTAAAAGAATGAATTGGGCTGGTCACGCTAATTTTTTTTTTTAAAAAAAAATCTACTGCTATTAAAATAGTTTGTGGAGGAAGAGCGTATATAATTAATTGTCTTAGTAATCATTTTTGTGTTTTATTATTGATCATTTTTGTGCTTCAACTTTCATGTAATTTACTAGATTTATTAATAGGCAAGCGAAAGAAATTTTTTAAAATATAATGTAAGAGGAATAAAATTGAATAAATTCGTGGTAAAAAGTATGGGACAAAAGTAAAATTTAAGGTAGGGTCAAGGAACAGATAATAATTAAAGAACAAAACTTAAACGTGAAATGAACGTACAAATCAAATTGGTGTTCAATAAAATTAAACGACAAAGATTTTTTTTTTTTGGAGGCCAACGAAGCTAGAAGAATAAAGCATAAGGTAAAATTTCGAGATCAAATTAAAGAAGATTAAATTATACAATGAAAAAAAAATCCAAATTTCATTTTTCTTCGCTTAAATAAAGATCTGGTAGCTGATATAAATAACACCAGAATGACAAAGTTGCAAAACTGGTCTCCTTTTATTATACGATTACATAAATAATAATTTTTCTATTTATGAAATCTATCAATACTCAGTTTAGTTAGTTTTGAAACTTGATATCAATTGTGAAATAGATATAGCAAGGTATTTGGTACATATGGATATTATAATTATCTTTTCAAACTAGGAAACTAAAGAAAAAGAATATGAAAAGAGAATTGACTGGGGAAAAAACCAAGAAGAAGAAGAAGAAGAAGAGAATTGATAATGAACGATTGAAAGGGGAAAACATAGAGAAAAGAATGGACGGAAAAGGGGGCAAAAAAAAAAGCAAAAGGGAAAGTGTTGACTTAGTTGGTAAAACAAATGGATGAAGCAATTAATTTAGATACATTTACAACCTTTTGTTGGACAATCATACAGCATTCACAACATTAAGGGTAGTTAGCAACATCCGGAAAAAAACGTTAATCACACCCGACACTCCCAATTAATTTTTATTATTAAAATCAATAAAAATCACTTTAATTAAGTGGGTTTTTTCCCTGGCACGATTGTTTTACTCGTGTAGTGTGTGTTTGGGAATCAGTTGGCCTTCGTCAAAATGTGTTTTAATTTTGTGATTTGCTTTGTTATAGCTCACACATTTATTGTACTTTTTATAAATACTTTGAACCCATAAGCTTACGTTTAAGAAATCCTTAGAAATGTTGAAGTTTGTTGTCAGTTGAATTAGAAATGAGAACTTTTTATCAACTTTTTTTTTAATTTTGTAATGGATATGACATTTTTTTTATGTATTGGTTCCACCTGTTTTTTATTTTATTTTATTGAGGCACTATTAAGCACTAAATATAAATATTTCTCTCAACAAGTCTCAACAAAAATTTGAATATTGATTCATCATATCGTGGGAGACTAGCTTTTTCTACTGGTGTCCATCTATCATTTTTAATGTGTTTAAGCATAAACCTGAAGGTTTTATTTTTATTTTTGGCCATGAAGGTAAGATATATGTTACCATTTTTTTCTTTTTCACTAAAGGGAATATATTGGTTTAAGATAACAAACGTTTTACTCTTTGTAGTCTTAAATACATGTTACTTCCAAGTACTTCGAGAAAATGTGGTTAAAACCATTTAAATTATTAGTAGGTGAAATAAAATTCTAGATTTAATCTTGTTTAATACTCCATCTTTTTAATGTATTCCTAAATCGTTAGAAATAAGACCAATTTCGGGAGAGAAAAAAAGTTTATTCATTCTCGATTTTGTGCAAACCAATATATCGGACTACTAACGATGACCAACATAGTTCATCAAAGGGAGTAGTAAAACTTTAATGGACTCGAGGATCATGAAGTTCAATTATCTAGTTTAGTATGTCATTAATTAGGTGAAATTGTTGTGTAAACCATGAGGTTTGCTAAATAAACTCTTTAATTTGTTTAGATAATGTTAAGAAGACTGAAAAAAGCAATGAATCAATGCTCAAGAAAATAGTAGTGTAATCGCTGCGGTGACATTTATTTAATTAATTAAACAATAATTCACTTTAGAGAAGAAGCAGTCATCAAAGTAAAGAAGGGAGCAATTATAATAATGTTCAAAGTCTCCAAAAAGAGAAGCATATGAAATTACAGAGAAACGGAGGAAGCCTTTTTATTATTTATAAGAACAATTTAAAGGGGACAAATAGTAAAAGACCTAAATTCTGGCTTCCATTATCATATATATGAACCGACCAAAAAAGATAGTGTGCCGTTGTCAATGTTCAAAGTAAAGGCTTGGTCAATATTCATTGTATCACTTTCGTTTCTCTCTAATGTTAATTCATCATGAATCAATCTTCTAATCTTTTGCAGATTGTTAGTTTTAATTATTCGTTTGGACCTTTATATGTTAGTTTTAAGAAATTTGTTGGATTTATCTCTTTCTTAACTAGCTATGAAATGTATTTTAATTACAAACTTGATTAACTAACTACATGTCAGTTTCACAAGTGCAATCGGTGTTAAACTTGCTCGGAAAATGATTGAGAGAGGCTTCTTTTAATTATCCCTCCAAAAAAAAAAATTGACCCATGTCTAAATTAAATAAAATGTTACATTACATGTCTTTATTATCAACATAATTGGTATGACATGTCTATTTTTGTGATGAGATCAGAATTATTCAAATTCAGTTTGGATAATTTAGATTTTAAGTAGTTATTTTAAATTCCACATTTACTAAAATAAAAATTTATTCAAAATATAAAATTATATTAACTTAGATCCTTTTTTTTTTTGGCCGAACGTAAATTAACTTGGATCTAAGCAGTCTAAAATCATTAAGATTGAGGTTAATGGTGAGCGGCTTATTGTTGCTTCTGAATACAAATACGAGTTTACTTCAAACCTCAATACTCCCTCCGTTCCTTATTATAAGAGACGAATAACCGAATTACGTTAATAAAAAAAACAGTTAAAATTAGTTAAGAACAATCAATGTGTAAAAAGTATAATTTCTTTTTCAAAAATACCCTCATTAATAAGGAGAGAGAATAATAGTAAATTATTAAAAGAAAGAGAAGTGGGAAGGAGAGAGAGTGTGAGTTAGAGACAATAAATATGGGTAAAATAGGAAATCAACACAAAAAAGTAGAGACAACTTTTAAGTGTCTCTTATATATAGGAACATGCCATAAGCATCAAATGTCTCTTATAATAAGGAACGAAGGGAGTATTACTTTTACCTCATTACTTATGATGATATTTTCAATTTGAAACATTTCAATTTAATTAATGGGCTTGATTCAATTTTCAACACTTATAATGATGATAATTACAGAATTTTCAGGTCTCTCAATAAACTTAAAGGTCAATAAATTCATAGCGTTAAATAAAAGTTTGCTCTTGTTCCTTTGGCTGCCGCAACTTTATTCGTGACAATTATTGCATGTTTCTTTCCTCATCCCCCAAAGCTTCGTGGTTCAGAATCATTGGTTAAATCACATGGAGAGCCCCAAATGGATCATGTTCGAATTCCCACCTGTATTATACTCCATCCAATCTCATACATGTGTGTGTGTAAAATTAGTCAAAATTGATTAAAAATAGTACTCCTCCGGTCCTTATTATAAGACCCAATTTGACTTTTTATTTGGTCCTAATTATAAGACCCAATCCATTTTGTCTCTTATATTTATGCATTTTTTTCCAAAATAATCCTTCTAATAATAGTTTGAGCCAATATACTTAATTAGCAAGGATATTTTAGGAATGACAACACTTATTTATTATAAATAACTAACTTAACTTACTTCCTTAATCTCCTCAAATAAGTCAATTGGGTCTTATAATTAGGACCGGAGGAGTACATATGTAAAAAAAATATGTTTTCCAAAATATCCTTATTTATGGTGAGAATGTCTAGTCAATTAATGCAGTAATATAACATATAATTAATAGGGATCTTAATGAAAAAAAAAGTTGGTTAAACGTTCAAATATTGTTTTAAGTGTATATTATAAATAGGATCATGTCCACCCAAAAACTATATCTTATATGTGAAACCAGGGGGAGTACGAAAAATCAGAAATTTAAAGAATGATTTTTCTCCTTATTATTTATGACTTATAAATAATAACGATTTATTGCAAAATTTAATATTTTATATTGATACAAATAATAACTAATATTTTATCCTGATTGTGAAAAATAAAACCGTGTTAATTTACCTCACTTTAAAAAGCAACAAAAAGAAATCACCGGGAACCAGCCTTCTTAAAAAGACATGTGACCTCGTACATTTTTTTTTATTTTTAAATACTTTCTTTTTTTCCTGTGGCTCCGGAACTCGGCTGCTTCCTTCCTTGTAGTTCGTAACTTTGTAACAGCGTGTAAGGGAAAAAGGAAGAAGGAAAATTTGCAAATAAAAACCCCATAGTATGTAAAATTATGATTTGGGATTCTAAACGTGAAAAATAGCAAAAGTAAGATCAAATTCTTATTTGCTATTTTTTAAATTAAGAGTTCCAAATTATAATTTTATAATTGGTGTCTTTATTTGCAATTTTCTCAAAGCAGAAATTCATTTGACGTCATTAAATTTCCCCCAAAAAAAAATAAATAATATGGAAGCCATTCTTGTCTTCTCGAATCTCGATCACTTATAAATAAGCTATCCCCTCAACATCATTTGGTGTGCACAGACCAGATACTGATAAAATCAAAAGCTATCAGAATCACAAAGCCTGCACACAGAATCAACATAGTACATCCATCTCACTATGCCTTCCACAAGAATTCTCTTGAAATGTTTGGTTCTTGGCTGTTTCAACGCCAATCAATCTAAATCCTTGTGCTCTGCTAATAATCATAGTCATAATCATCGTCATAGGAATAAGTGCTTGGCCTCCAGAAAGGTGATGAGCTCGAGAAGGCTGTCTCTCTCTGATTTGAGCGATTCTTCTTCGCTCTCTATCATGAGCGATCTCTCCAACTCTGTTCTCGCTTCAAATCTTCATATCTTCACCCTCAAGGAGCTCAAGGAGATCACCCACAATTTCTGCAAATCCAGTGTTCTTGGTGAAGGAGGGTTTGGCAAAGTTTATAAAGGCTTCATTGATGATAAGCTTAGGCCTGGTCTGGAAGCTCAGGTTGTAGCGGTTAAAGTTCTGGACTCAGATAGCAAACAAGGACACAGAGAGTGGTTGGTGAGGATCTTTTTTCTTTTTTCTTTTGGCTCAAATTCTTCTCTGATGAATCTGATAGAAGTTATGATGAAATTAATTCATTAATTGCTTTTTTTTTTTTTTGTGGTTGGTATAGGCCGAAGTAATCTTTCTGGGGCAATTGAAGCATCCCCATCTGGTGAACTTGATTGGATATTGCTGTGAAGATGAACACAGACTTCTGGTTTACGAATACATGGAGAGAGGAAATCTAGAGAACAAGCTTTTCAAGGGTAAGATTTAATTGAAGCAAACAAAAACCTGGTTTCTCAAAACTGTGGCTTTCTTTACGCAAGATGGTTATTGATTCTTCTAAAAACAAAAAAAATGCAGGTTACTTAGCAGCCTTGCCTTGGCTCACAAGAATCAAAATAGCCATTGGGGCTGCAAAAGGACTTGCTTTCCTTCACGAAGAAGACCAACCTGTCATCTACAGGGACGTCAAAGCCTCAAACATCTTATTAGACGCAGTAAGTTTCATTCAGAACCATTAAATAATTATCAGTAATAATTATCTGCGACAGAACCAACTTGATTTCTGACATGTTAATTATCATATTCGCAGGATTACAATGCCAAGCTCTCTGATTTTGGTCTTGCCATTGATGGCCCAGAAGAAGATCAAGTTCATATCACCACCCGAGTAATGGGTACTCATGGTTATGCTGCTCCTGAGTACATAACTTCTGGTACAGACAGAATCATGAAGAAAGTTTAAACCTTTATGATTATATGCCTAAGTTTTTTGACTCAGATAAACTTGTTTTTAATTTATCAGGGCATTTGACAACCATGAGCGATGTCTATAGTTTCGGGGTGGTTCTGTTAGAGCTGATTACAGGAAAGAGATCTGTGGATAAGAACCGTCCAATCAGAGAGCAGGATTTGGTGGAATGGGCAAGGCCATTGTTAAAAGACCCTAATAAGCTTGAAAGAATAATGGACCCAAGACTAGAAGGTCAATACTCTTATGAAGGGGCTAGAAAAATGGCGTATCTGGCTCACCAATGTCTGAGCCAACAACCCAAGTCTAGACCCTCCATGCGAGCCGTGGTAAAGACGTTGGAACCACTCATGAACCTAACTGATATACCAGTGGGATGCTTTGTCTATGTGGTCCCCAACGAAGGAACTGAAAAAATTAAACCAGTTCAATGTGGGGATAGTCAGATTGGAAGAAATGGGAATGAATGTGAACAGAAGAAGAAGGAAGACATGGAGCAGACGAAGAAGAAGAAGAAGATGGAGGATGTTCACGGAAATCGAAAAGGTCAAAGAAGAAGACGTCAGATTAAACTGCTGAGATCATCTGGTTCTGTTCATTCAGACACTGCTCTGTACAAAGTCCTTGGCACTAACCTTTACTCTCCAAAGCAAGAACCATAATTTCAAGCAAACAGCCATAAAAAGTATACGGTTCATCCTCAGTTTCTCATCATTTTTACTCAGAAAGTGTAGAGGTAGAACAAGAATAGAAAAAAGAAACAGAGATAGAAAGAGAGTCATAGTGCACATCAAGTATACAGTTGTTTTTTTTTTTTTTGCCTCTGTTTTGATGGCAAATGTTCAGAAATTCCAATGTATTTTTTCGTAGTGGGGAAAAACTTTAGGTGTTAGATAGGTTTGTTCTTTTATTTTAAAGATTGTAATTTTAGATATCTCTACCGTGTCAATGGTTACATGTAGTATGGCTGGAAAGATATGATTATTATGTGTAAAAAGTAAACGCAAAAGGAGTGAAAACTTATTTACTGTTTTATTTGTCTGTGTCACTGTCCTTTTAAATATGTGAACATCAATTTTTATTGGTCAATTTAAAGATGCTTTCATGTGATGTGGTTGGGCTTATTTTATATTATTTTAATGATCTTATGAGAAATGTGGAGTTAGTGGATTCTGCTCTGCTTTCCCATTTAGGAAGTAAATAAGGATTGAAGAGCATGATTGTAGTAGCTGGTACCCAACTCTGTTCTCATTTTCCGTAATTCTTACCAATCCCACGTAAGAAGCTCATTTGAAAAATTAAATGTTGAAATTTTGGAATAAGCCCAATTTACTGTCCATTTGACTTCTGCTTTAATTTCCCTGGACAAATGGTCCTTTCTACCCTCCATTTTCCAAATCCATGGCTCTTCCCATTATTTGATCGGAGAGCATTGGGTGCTCATCAGTTTTGATGAGCACCAAGTGCTCATCAGATCTGGACCGTCCAGATCTGATCTGGACCGTCCAGATCTGATCTGGACGGTCCATATTTAATTTTAATTTTATTTTTATTTTTTTAAAAATAATTATTTAATAGGTATAGGATAAAAAATAAAGATAATCTCTTAACTATCATTCTTTAAAATATATTTTTTTCTATTTAAAATAATTATTTTAAAATATTAAATCTGGGCCGTCCAGATCTAATCTGGACGGCTCAGATGGCTCATCAGGTGATGAGCACCAAGTGCTCATCACCTGATGAGCACTGTATACAGACCCTTATTTGATTTCGTCACCATTAGGTTTTACTGCACCATATTTTTCCTTTACAAATCCTACTACATTCAATCCTAAATATACAATTTATTTTGTAATATAATTTATACTACAAACTAAATCTTATATTTAAAATCAGATGTAATATGTCCATCTTTTGTTATGACTTGTTTGCGTTTCATTCTAATAAATAATTATTCTTCAAGTTAAATAAGAGATGAAGTTGCTATATAAATGTGTAGCTCAGTCATAAAAAGTAGTACTAGCTTAATTAGTGATCTCAGGTTTAAGCTTTGACTAAGTGTGCAATTGCATTAAATTTTATAAGAAAGTTTTGACATCTTATGATCTTACTTGACTCAACTCAAATTATTATTTTGTAAGTTAAAATAAAGACAAAGTTAGGAAAAATTGTAAAAAAAGTCCGTCAAAATAAAAAAAATTACAAATAAGGACCCACTACAATATTAGTATGGGTCTTGACAATAATAATGTGTTTTAACTATAATTTTTATGAACGGATCTTTGTATGCACTTTTTCAATTTCAGCAGTTTTTTCTGTGATTTTTTTTTAATGAAGTTATGCAACTCAACCAATAAAGCTATAAAAACTTAGTTGATAGTATTAGGTTTAAGCTCACAATATGCAATTATTGAAAAAAAAAAACTTTACTCAAGATTAATCAGAGTCTAATATGATTTGGTGGTATGATTTAAAAAAAGGGAGGAAAAAAAGTCCTCCAAGCTATCAAATACCATCCACTAAGTTGAATTACACAAACCGTATGGTTAAAAAATTATTTGAATTTACCAATTGAATAAATTAATATACAATCATATCAGGCAGGCTCAATTCAAACTTGAAAAAAAGCAAAGAAAAATCTGTGATTTTATACGAACAATTTGGAGAAGTGTGTGATCGATCTTCTTCACTCACCAACCCCAACAAATTGAAATTAGTGGAATCTCTGAACAAAATCACAAATAAAAAGTCCACATCTGTCTTCTGGTGAAATATCAAAATCAAAACCAAGACCAAATTAATTCGTAAATGAAATCTATCAGAAACAAATCAACAAACCCCGTAGTACCAATTGTGGAAAACAAGCTTTTATATTCAACAAATTGTGGCACTTATGGTGAAATTGTCTTATCATACTCTTACCCCCAAAATATTTCCCTTATTAAATAATATGACCTGACATGATTTATTTGCTTAAAACATGCTGGAAAACACATGGGTAGGAAGTGGTCATTTGTTGTTGGAAGGAAATACAACCTGACAAAAAAAGTATTATTTTTTGATATTTTAATGAAAGTTGAAAATCTGAGAATACAATCATCTGTGGATATAATGGATAAAAATTTAGACTATCAATTCTCCAACGTTCATGTCTCATGAGGCAGTCCTTATCACATTCTTGATTATTTAATTAATTAATATAACTTTGCTTATTTTAATGACTGAATGACATAAGCATTACAAACATTGACATAACCCCATGGCCTTAAATTCCTTGGTTTGGAAGGTAACATTTGGATATCACAAGTACAGGGGAAAAGGGATATAAAGAAAGAAATGACAAATAATTTAATTATTTTTTTGGTTTTTGTATTTGAATGATTACTTAGGAAGACATAATATTTTTGAAAGATTTTGTGTAGGGGATATTGTTTAATAAGTAGTCAATAGTGGATGTGTTAATGATGATCTGACTTGAATTTTTGATGCCCACAAATTAGACTTAGAATTTCACAAATTCAATTCGGGCATCCACACTAACTTGTTAGTTCTTAACATTGTTATCAATGAAATTCCCAAACTTTCAAAAACTAAATAAATTTTTAAGTATTTAGTGTTGGACTATTTGCTCAAATTTGAATCAAAATCATAATTTCCAATACCTGACGGTAGTCAAAAGATGGAGGACATTAAATAAAAAGATGATCAATTTAAGTATATGAGATTTATTAATTTTCTTTATGTCTCATTCACTTAAAAAAAAAAAAACCTTTTACAAATTTCTCATGTTACCGTATTTTAAGTTCAATGTATGACATTGTCCACAGCAAGGTGCTCCAATAATAGGGCTACTTATCATATTTGGGTGAGGTTTCGAGTCCAAACTCAATATTGATATATTTGCGTACATATTGTTCAAGCTTTTTTTTTTTCCTTTTAATTTTCAACGCAATCTAATCTTTTCTTTTCCTTTTATAAAAGATCAAAATGACATTAAATAAACTATGAGTTTTTTTATGGCATAATCTTGAAACTAAAAAAGATGTAGTGAATATAAAATAATCGCTAATATATGAGCAACCGTTGTTGTTAACTTTTAGAGATAAATAAATGCATCAGAATAATAAGATTGGTATTTCCTTCTTTTATATATATATATATAAACAGATTGGTATTTCCTCCAACAAAAAAAAAAAACCGTACTTCCGCTAGCTTGTTCTATCGCGGCACAGCTTCTGTTTGGAGACCAGATGTAGATTTTTGTATTCTCATGTTGTACAAGTGTGACGGTTTAATCTATATTTTATAATAAAGTAACAACAACAACAATTAACTCATCATTAAACGAAAATTGAGAATCATTTCGTTAAAGTTTGTATTTGAATGAACTTTTTAAAAGTGATTATACGCATGCAAGTAGGTTTTATCAACGCTTATATGAAAACATTTTCTTAAATGCTTATAGGTAGAATCATGTTTTGTTTTAAGAAATGGTGTTATATAATGTGTCTTCAAGTTTTTTTTTTTAATATAGAACATTTAAAATTGTGTACTAATTTATGTGACCTCGGACAAGTTTAGATGGTACAACATTGTACTAACATTTCTAGAATGGGAAGGCTTGTTGTAGAGTGAGTGATTTTTTTTTTTTGGGGGCAATCTTTGAAGTGACCTTAAATCATTCTCATCCCTTTAGAGTGCTCAACAATCCATGTCATGCCCTGCCTTTGCTGATAGTGATGTCCTTACTTCATTATTTCATGAAAACTACTGTTCTTTTCCCCGACATAAGTATTGTCTCTTTCAATTTTTTTTTTTTTAAAAAGTTGGAATACTTGGTTACTCATAGGAAATACAATAAACTATATTAAAATTGTATATGATATAAACATAAATAGTATAAGTTTTTTCATATAGAATTTAAGGACTAAGTGGTTTGTGAATTACAAATTGGACAATACTTACATCAAGTTTTTTATGTCCATCATGTCAAATTCTCTAATTACAAATGATTGTATAGAAAGAATTTGACCTAATTTTCTTATAAATAATACTATCTCTGTCCAAGATATAAAATATACACAAGAAAATTATTTTGATGCTAAGTATGAATAAAACATTCAAAGTAACCCCAAGAAGTATACGTCATGATCCTTTGGCGGTTATGGACCAACCACCAGAGTTCCCAGGAGAAGCCACTGCCATAGGATTTTTCCGGAGCTGCGTGACCGTAGGATCTATATCATATGTATGGATCAATTTCTTCTTATAACCGGACCAATCCATTGGCCCAATAAGCCTGATTAACTTCCGTAAGCCCTTTTATGTTTGGGCTAATAACACTATTTGTGTTGTTAGTGTTCGTTGGCACTCTATATGGAGAGGATGACGTGGCTGGGACTAAAACTCCTGATGAAAGTCCTCCATATGGTGGATACCTGAAATGTACACAATAATCTGGGCTATTTGTTGCAGTATGGGAGAAGTGATTCAAACCTTCCAATCTCCATCATCCGGTGCAAAATGATGTAAGGTTTTCTGTAGATCACGTGCATCAAGTGGGGCATCAGATGCAATTTCTTCAAGGGTCCAAGCTCCCCAACCCAATGATCCGACCAAATTGAACATATCGCCATCATCTGGGCTCCAAATCATTCTCAGATCCATATGAATTCCAGATCTGGGCTAGACTTTTCCATAAATCTGAAGCATTATGAGGATTGGTATTTGGAAGAGATTTCTCCTGCCATTACCAGTCGTATTTCTCTCTCCAAATTTGCACCCAATACAGATTTGGTAGTTTCATGGGAAAGGCTGTATTTTGCCTTGAGAGATTCTCAAGGCCATACCCTCCGCGGCTGACAGGTAGCATTCCAATTCATCAAATGAATTGTCTTATTCAGTCAATAATGTTGGCCCTCATTAG